CGCAGAGCGGCCAACTGGTTTGGCACAACCGATGCGGCCGTTATGGCGCTTACCGTTGGCAACGTCCCAGCGCGTGTCAAAGGCCGCGCTGGCGCGCGAGCACTTCAATGCGGGTCGGTGGCTTGGGCGGACGCGGTATCACGATGACGTCGACAACAAGGGCAACGTCGATGATAGCAGCGATGGCGGTGGCGATGATGACGATGACGGCGGCAAGGCCACTGACGGCGCCGATGCTGGTAACGCCGATGACAACGATGATGTCCATGCGTCGATGATGAAGGTGCTTGCGTGATGATGGCGGCAATTGCGGCGACTGTCGATGGCGACGACGTGATGCGGCGGCGCTGCTGAGGATGATGGCGAGGAAGCGCGGGTGCGCGGGCATCCAAGAACCCTGGCAGACTTCCGGTTGACATTCATGTCTTTCGTTTCGTTTCGCAAATTTCTGAAGAGCTCTATTTTGATATGCCTCCAGAGTTCCTGGTTCTAGACCGAGTTCGACACGCTCGTGTGGCGGCGCGCGCGTGCTGCCCGCATGGTGTCACCTGACACGGAATCGCGCGCCGGGCGAATGCTGGACTGCCCGTGCGGTATGGGCTCCTGTGAAAAATCGGCGCCTGGGCAGCATCATACGTAACTCGCAATGTCCCAGGAGGGACCGCTGAGTCCGAGGGGGGGAGAGAGGGCGGTAGAGTCAGGTCGGGCATGTCCTCCTACAGGCGGATTTTGGACGAACAATTAAGCATAGTCAAAAACACTCAAGACGAGTTATATATACACGAAAAATCGCCGCCCATTTTTGTGTGTAGATGCATATCTGTATAAATATATACACATACATATATATATGTATATGTATAAAAACAACTTTCGAATATTCCTCCTGTAGAGGGACAGGCCCGCCTTGATGGTTGAGTCTCTGCCTCTTTCGACAGAAGAAAATCCTGCGCCGGGGGCGCCCGCGAGCGCCCTTCGAGGAGTCGAAGGGCGGCAGCGCGGCGCAAGCCCTCGGCGATACCCGCCCGGCGCACTGGGCGCCCTATGGGCGCGCCCGCGAGGCGGCACCGTGGAGAACTCCTGGCGACCCCGTCCGATCGCTTAAGACACGACGACGACGACGACGACGACGACGACGACGACGACGACGACGACGACGACGACGACGACGACGACGACGACGACGACGACGACGACGACGACGAGGACATCGACGAGCACAATTTTGGCCTCCTGAGTCCCTCTCGGGGCGCGTCTTGGAGCCTTCGACGTCTTCGGAGCCTCTTGAGCAATCTTTAAGCCATACTCGGGCGTCTTCGGCCCTGTCAGGCTGCTCTGGTCGCTTTTTGGTGGCCTCTGGGATGCCCCGGCAGGTGGCGTACTGGGGGCCCTCACCGAGCCCCGGCGTCTCTGTCTGCTCCGTACCCTGCGTTCTATCTCTTTCCGATGAAAGCCGGGCGCAGAGACTTCCAAATGCCTGAGGCTTGCAGAAGAACCTGCTTCTCCTCTTTCCCTTTCCTCCTTCCTCCTCCTCGTGGCCACCAAAATTCGCTAAGTACTGCGATGTGGTCACAGACAGCTCTACTGAAGTAGTGACCCGCACATGGTTTGAATTGGAAATGAAAAAGGTACCAATCACGAGACCTACGGCCCCAGAGAAGGCAGGGTTCACAAAGCGTCCCCCCGCGGCATGACCCTCACAGATCGTGCCCCACCGTGAGCTCCACTCTCGGGTCCAGGGATAAAGTTTGCATGGCGTCCCTCTCCCACATTGGTACACCCTCACACGGATCGTGCCCAAGAGGAATGTAGTTTCACGTGCAGCCCTGGTGGGAGGAGTCGCATATCGTCACGTCCCCCTGTGTATCTTGACTGTCTCCTCACACGGATTGTACCCCACTGGGGGCTCCACCGACAGCCCCAGAGCCAAGGTTCTCATCCCGCCGCCCCGCCCATGTCGGCACACCCCTTACCTGGATCGTGAGGTCGGGGCGTCTTGGGTGCCTCTCGGCGCCGGGCTTCGGCGGCGCTGGGTCCTGGTTGCCCCTCTCCATCCTTCTTCTCCTCCTTCTAATAATTCTCCTCCTCCTCCTCCTCCTACTCCTGGTCCTCCCACTCCTCCTCCTCCTCCTCCTACTCCTCCTGGTCCTCCCACTCCTCCTCCTCCTCCTCCTCCTCCTCCTCTTCCCCCACCCCCCTCTGTCCACTGCCTCCGGCGACTTGAGATTTTCAGTCTGAGGCTTCCCCTCGTGAGGGCGGAGACGACGAGGGTGACGACGACGATGACGAGGGGGGGGGGAGGAGCATGTGGAGTTCAAAGGCAAGGCCATCTCGGGGAAGATTGTAGCGTGTTGGGGGCCTTTGGGCTCCATCCTGGCTTTCTGGGGCCCTCTTCGACTTTCCTTTGGCCGTCCAGGAAGTGCCGTTGGACAGCTCGGTGCTGTCGTGGCTATAGTGAGGTGAGTGTGTGTGCGTTTGCGTGAGCTTTGGGCCGTGGTGTTTCTCTCTTGGGGATTGCCTCTTGGGACCCTTGTGTGGCTCGCTTGGGGGATGGCGCTGGGCTACGGGACAAAAACGACATCGTGCGTGGGTTGTGGGTCAGAGGCCTCTTGGATGCATGCTCGGCTCTCCTGGGACGCCTCATTGGTGAGCGTCTTAGAACAGTGGGCCTCTGAGGGGCCGTTTGAGAGCCTCTTGGAAGTTATGTTGGGTGTCCTGGGGGGATCTTGGGGGCTTCTTGGGGGCCTGATGGCGGTCTCGGGGGCCCCCTTGGGGCGGATGGCTCGAAATGTGAGTCGCACCAACCCTCTGGGCGCGGATGGTTTAACTAACTCTTCTCATGTATCTTCCAACAACTCCTTCTTTCCCTGCTCGGGGGAGGGGTTTATCACTGTTCCTTATTAATATACACCCCCTCCCCCATCCGGCCGGCGGCCAACCCGGAACCATGCCGACGCCATGAGGGCCCGCCCCCACCATCCCTGTCAACAAAAACAATACAAACCGCACTCTGCCTCTACATTTGGAGCATGCGCGGCCAACCTGATGCGCCCCCCCCACCATCCCTGTCAAAAAACAATGTGAAATGCACTTTGGGGCAAAATCTTGGGTCATGTTCGTGAGGCCCGCGAGCACTTTGTATGTTTTTTGACAGGGACGGCGGGGGTGTCAGCATATTGCCTGCTGTGCGCAGGGCTACAATCCCGGACACAAAACGATACAACATGCACTTCGCGGCTAAATCTGGATCATGCGCGGCCACCCCGCGATCACTGTCAAATGGTTTTTGATAGGGACGGCGGAGGTTGTGGCGCGTGGCCTGCTGTGCGCAGGCCCACCAGACACAATGATGGGCCTTGGTCTTCGACAAGGATGGCGTGGGCCGACATGTTTGCCGATGTGTGATGTCACGTGCGCAGGCGCACCTGACGCACTCTGCACGTGCCCCGAACGTGGCGCACCTGGCGCGGATGGAGTGTGCGGCACACCTGGCGCACTCGGAGCACGTGGCGCCCCAGGGGTGCCTGGCGCGCTTGGTGCCCCTGGCACGCGTGGCGCACCTCGCCCAAGCGTCGCGCACCTGGGGTCGGCTTTGGTTCCCAGTAGCTGTCCATCCAACGACGACCGCTGAACATGCTCAGGCTCGGGTGATTCTTATGTGTTGGGAAGGCGGGGAGTGAGCTAGACGGCTTGCGGGCGGGTGGGTAGCTTGACCCCTCACCCTACCCCCTCCCCTGGACCTGGGAGGGGCAGGGGGGCGGGGTAGTTAGAGCGCCCAAGATGGCTCTAAGAGGGCCTCAGAGAGCCAAACATGGCCTACAAGGTGGCCCAACATAGCTGAACATGGTTCCAGATAGCCTCCGACATGCCTCGAAGACGCCTCAAGACGGTCCCAAGACGGTTTCCAGTCTCCAAGGGCCTCCCCAAGAGGCCAAAACGGCTCCAACACCTAAGGAACATCAATGTTGTTGGCCTTCTCGCCTTTTCGCTTCCATTGGGCCTCGGAGGCCTCCAGATGGCCCCAAGACAGCCCAAGAGAGCTCCAAGAGGGGCCCAAGAGAGCCCCAAGAGCGGTCCAAGAGCAGCCCAAGGGGCATCCAAGACGGCATTTTTGACATTCCGAGGGTGGGGTGTGGGGGCCTGAATCTATTACCCCCTTCTTTTTTTCCCATAGAGCCCTAAGAGAGCCCCTAGACCCCTGCACCTCCGCCAAAAAGCCACAAGAGGGCCCCAAGAGTGCCCCCAGAGGTCCCACGGGGACTTCAAGAGAGCCCAGAATAACTCCAAGAGAGCCGCCAGAAACCCTCATGAAGCCGTCGTGTTTGGGGAACACGTATTAAGTGATTCGACATACGTTCCCGCCGTTTCTGCGACCCCGGAACGCTTCCAATGCGGCTGAGCCACTGCATACTTCTACGTTCATTCGTTCCTGTGTCCCTTCCTTCTTTTCTTCCTGCCTCCACTCTCCTCTCTTTGTTCACCTGATGCCTACTTCTCTCTGTTCCTCCTCCTCCCCCCTGTTCCTCATCCCTGTTCTTCCTCATTGCTCCCACCGCTTCTGTCACCCCCGCACGCTTCCAAGGCAACCGTGCCACTGCATGCTTCGACACTGCCCTGGTTCGAGCAACTCCCCTGGCAATTGTTTCTGGATGGGCCAAGCGTCAAGAATTCGAAGCCTCCTTTTGGGCCCCTCTACATGCCCTGTCGGGGCTCTCTTGGGCCGTATTGGGCGCCTCGTGGGCTGTCTTCAGCCTCTCTTAGGCAACTTTGATGCCTCATTGGGGGCCTGTGTGGCCGCCTTGGGCGCTGTGAGAAACAAACTGGTCAATGTGTTAAAAGATGCACGTTTTCCTTAGGACCTGGGACGATTTGGGCCTCTTGGGGCTCTCTTGGGGGGCCTCTCGAAGCTCCCGGGGAGTCTTGGAAATCTCTGGAGCCGCCGGGAGGTTATCTTGAGCGGTCCTGGGGCGCCTTTGGGGCGCTTTTGGGTGCTCTTTTTTTTGTTGCGGTACTGGCACTTGCATATGGCTTGGTCCAGCGGTGTGTTGTTCACAGAGAACAATCAAGCCCAACAATAATAATTGAGACGATTACCTCGCCCAGACCGGGAAAGCATGACTGCAAAGAGTGTCGACAATACTGAAGGGGAGCAACCCCACTGCTAAACTACGATTCGGCATGCTCCCACTAAGTATACAGCATGCTCCCACCAAGTGCTGGGCGATGGAGGCATACTTAGAACGACTGGACTAAGCCGATGGGGGGAGGCCAGCAAGCAGAGAGCGAGAAGGAGAGAGAGAGAGAGAGAGGGAGCGATGTCAAGACCGTGCGCGCGTGTGGTTCCGTGTGGATTGCCTCTTGAGTGGACGACACGTATGCTCCATGCCGCTGTACCATCGATTGAGGCCTGCCTCTGCTAGCCTCCCTGCTCCAGCAGTTCTACAAAAGATGCCACCGCGTCCAGAACAAGCCAGGCTGACAGAACTCTCATGGCAACGAACAGCTGATAGTAAGGGGCAAAATGTGGCGTCCTCACCACGGCTGTTCTCAGGGCGATCTGCACGTGTAAGATAACGCAGGGGAGCAGCTCGTTCATAGCGTGACTCAAACTCACTAGAGTCGGGTCAACGATCATATGTGCAAGCGAAAGGTTAAAATCGTAGCAGCTGATTGCCCCTGCAATGCCGAAGATGTGAATCATCCACAGGCTGCCTTTAGAATAGGTCACCGGCTGCGGGGCTGAGGAGGTGTGCAAAACGGACTGCCCCTGAGGGCCACCGAGCTTGTTAAGCACAGCCATGTAGACGAGACCGAACTGCTCGCTCCGCCACTGAGTAAGCTGGATCGACCCTGCAACCCCGTACAAGGTCGAGCCGACTCCGAACCAGAGACTGCCCCAGAAACTGCCCCATGCAGGAACAAATGGCACCAAAGAGCCCAGCAGGGACAAACAACCACCGAGAAAGTTGAGTACCGATCCAGTCCACGCACTATTGACTTCCAACGAGCTGAAGACATTGTTCTCGATGCACTCTGCTATCCCGCCCATTAGAAACTGCAGCGAGCCCAAGACAAACGCGTAGTTCAGGATGACTTCTGCGATCTCGTGTGGGCAAGTATACTCGGCCACCAGGCCAACAGTGAATGTGAGGCAGCCAGTGAAAGAAATCAACGACGCAACGTACGGCCATGGTCCGGCACCTAGTGCGTTCAGTCTGTCCACAGCTGTCCTGTACCGGAACGGATTGGTCATGAAGCGAGGCGCTGCCATCTCGCCAGGGATCGCTACAGCTGTTTCATCCTCTGACGACGAGCTGTCGCTGTCCCCGCTCTGCTGGTCCCCATTATTGTCGCACTTCTTGTGGCCTCCCACAGGATCCATGTTGACCGTGCTGACTACCATCAAGTAGGTGCAGATGAGGAAATGGGCCTTTCCCCAAATGTAGCCTCCAGTTGTCAACGCCGTCGTGTTCAGTGTGCTCGAGGAAGCGCAGCCCAAGAACGAGCTGACGGCAAAGAACACGGACCCCTCGAAGAACGTCAGGCCGATCCAGAACGAGATCGTTCGACGCCACCGCCACTCCCCCACGCTCGGGTACCAGAAGGCAAAATCGTGCTGCCCGACCGGCGAGGCCAAGCTCTGGTACGAGGTGTCCGAGACTGCGGGCCGTATCGCCAGCGGGGGGGTGCCAGCGCCGGGCTCCCGCGGCCGCGCACTGCCGGGCTCCCCCCGCGCTCCCGCGGACTTGCCGGTCCGCCAGGCGAGGTAGCGCGCCGAGAACTCCGTCCGCGTACTCGTCCCGGAGCCCCATGGCCTCGATGCGGTCCGTCAGGTCCGGCAGAGGCTTCTCCCCGGCAGCCGCGCCCGTGGGCCCCCGGGCCGGCATCGCAGCCGCCGCCTGCTCGCGCTGTGGCGGAGGCCAGGGGGCAGACCTCGCCCTCCCGCGGCCCAGAGGAGGAAGTGGGCTGGCTCGGCGGCCCTGGGGTCGGCCCCATGCGGCTCGAGCCCGGCTGGCTTGAGCCAAAATGGCTACGGAGGGGCGCTTTTGGGTGCTCTTGGCAGCCTCTTGGGCAGCCTGGAAGCCGTCGCAGGCGCTCTTGGAGCGCCCCAAGGGCTGTCTTGAGCGGCCGGGGAGCGGCCCCGGAGGCCCCAGGGGGGGTGGACCCAGGCTGGAGGTTCGAGGCCGTGGTTTCTGGGCGCCAATTTCCCTACCCAGGTAGACGCGCAGGTCTGTCTGTCTGTCTGTCTGTCTGTCTGTCTGTCTGTCTGTCTGTCTGTCTGTCTGTCCGTCTGTCTGTCTGTCTGTCTGTCTGTCTGTCTGTCTGTATATATATATATATATATATATTTCGCGGAAGGCCCTCCAGAGCAACACAAGAAGATGCTGGAGAACCTCCTACTCCGATGACGGGCGCGCTCTAAGGTTCCCGGAAGGCTCCCCGGGAACCTGAAAGCGCGCCCGTGTGGGAGCCCTCGCGGAGGCTTCTGTGAGCCTTTGGTGGGCGTCCAAGGGCCGTTTTGGAACCCTGCGGGCCTTCTTTACGGCTCTCTTGGCTTGCCCAGGCTCATTTGGAGAGCCACCTGCAGCGCTCGTAGGCGCTCTTGGGCCGGTTTTGCGCCGCCTTGGGGCGCGATGGGGCCATCGTGCACGCTTCGTGTGCCGTCTCCCAGCGTCGGGAAGCGGAGCAGGCGGCCACTGGAGAATCAATGAAACATCCAAGGGACATCCATGATCTTTACCTATTGGGGATGTTTCGGAAAGCAGTTTCGAATCCTCTTGGGCCGCCCTGGATGCCCCGTTGGCCGCACTGGAGAGGTGGTGGGCGCGCTGGGGCAATTCTGGAGCCCCGTGGGCCTCCGTGACCATTTTTGTGGCCTGCCTAAGCTGAGCTTTAGGTCGGGCATGTCCCCCCACAGGCGGATCTTGGCCGATAAATGAAAAATACCAATACTCAAAAATGGTCAAACAATCGTCCCCCGACTATTTTTGGACTATTTTTGAATATTCCCCCTCTAGAGGGACAGGCCCGAGCCCACTTGGGTGATCCGGCGCGCCTCGTGGGCTGTCTTGAAGCGCCCGCTCGGGGTGTCTTGGAGCCCTGCTGGGCTCCTCTTGTGCCGCCTCCGCGCGTCGGGCAGCGGCGCAAGCGACCACACGAAAATCCTTGGAACCGCACGCGGGAACTGCAGGGACCGACAACAACGATGTCGAAAACGAACTGGCGTTTACAACGAACAACGAAACGAGGCCCAACGTTTGAAACGAACGTGTAAACCGAAGCACGACGAAACGGGACGTTTAAAGCAACAGCGAACAACGAAACGAAACAACAACGAATAACGAAACGAACAACAAAACAAGGGCCCAAACCAAGCTAAACATCGTTGTGGTCGGTCCTTGGGGAAATGAGCGATTCTCGCCCCTGGAGCCTGTCTCGGGGATGGGCTCGAAGCCCTCCTGGCGCTCCTCGGAGGCTCCCTGAGCCCGCATCGGAGCAATGATAGGCGTGCTGGGGCCGTCTTGGGGCCCTGAGGGCCTCATTGGTCCTTGTGGCGTGTCCGAGCTCATTCGGGGCTCCGGCCGGAGCCCTCTGTTGGGCCGTCTTGGCGCCCTCTTCGGGTGTCTTGGGGCCCTCCTGGGCGCCTTTTCTGCCGTCTCCGGGTGTCGGGCAGCGGAGCAGGCGACCATACAAAATCCTTGAAAAACCATAGGGTAATCAATGACTTTCGCCCCTGGAGCCTCTCTTAGGGATCAGCTTAAAGCCATCTTGGTGCGCCTCGGAAGCCGCCTGAGCCTGCATCGGAGCAATGATGGGCGTGCTGGGGCCGTCTTGGGGCCCTGTGGGCCTCGTTTAGTGCCCTTGTAACGTGTCCGGGCTTATTCGGAGGGCCGCCCAGAGCCCTCTGGGGCGATTTTGGGCGCCTCTTGGGAAATCTTCGCGCCCTCTTCGGGTGTCCTAGGGTCCTCTTGGGCGGGTCTTGTGCCGTTTCCGGGCGTCGGGCAACCCAGCAGGCGACCACACGAAGATCCTTGAAAAACCCTAGGGGGCCTCTCCCAGGGATCAGCTGGAAGCTCTCTTTGGGCGTCGTTGAGGCCACGTGAGCCGTTTCGATGCAGAGGTCGGCGTGCTGGGAGCGCTGTCGTGCTTTCTGGCCCCCGTGAGGGATTCTTTTGATGCCCCTCTGGGCCCCCTGGAGGCCCTTCTCGAGCGCAGAAGCCCGCCGGGCCCACCATGCCAACCCGAGGTACCGATTTTTCCCCCCCCCCCCCCCCCGCCTCCCCCTGGGGGCCTACTCTCTCTCTCTCTCTCTCAAGCTATATATATATATATGGATCATTAACTGATTCTTTTAGGTATGTATGTATACATGGACGTATGTATGTATGAATGAACTAATCAATGGAACTATGATTGCTTTTTATGTATGCCTGTATGCATGCATGCATGCGTGCATGACGTATGTATGAACTTATACATACATGCATGTGTGTGTATGCATTTATGCATGTGTGCATTTCTGCATGTGTGCATACATGTACGCATGCATACATGCATGCATGCATGTGTGTATGTATGGATGCATGTGATGTGTAAACGTGTATGTCTATATGTATGTATGTATGTGTGTGTTTTCGTTTGCGTATGTATGCGTGTATGTATCATGTATGTGTGCATGCATCCAAGTATGTAAGTAGGTAGGTCGGCATGTCGGCATGCATGTTATGTCTGTAGGTATGTCTGTCTGTCTGTCTGTATGTATGTCTGTATGTCTATAGGTATGTCTGTATATATGTGTATGTCTGTATGTCTGTCTGTATGTACGTCTGTGCTTGTATGTATGTACGTGTGTATGTACGCATGCATGCATGTACGTCTGTGTGCACGTACGGATGTATGTATGCACGCCTATCTGTATGTACGTATGTACGCATGCATGCATGTATGTAGATGTGTACGTATGCATGCATGTATGCATGTATGCATGCATGTATGCATGCATGCATGTATGTATGTGTGCATGTATGGGTGTACGTATGTTGTGTGTATGTATGTGAATATGCATGCATGTACGCAGGTTGGACTGCATGCGTGCAGGTATGTATGTTTATAGGTGTGTATGTATGTACGTCGCCCTGTCCGTAAGTATGTATGTCTTTATGTCTGCATGTCTGTGTGTATATACGTACGCATGTGTGTATGTATGTCTGCATGCATGCCCGTACATATGTGTATGTATGTATATATGTGTACATGTATTAATGTATGTATGTATGTATGTATGTATGCATGTATGTATGTATGTATGTATGTATGTATGTATGTATGTGTGCATGCATGCATACATACATGCATGCATGTATGTATGTATGTATGCATGCATATGGGTATGTATGTTTATATGTATGTGTATATATATATATATATATATATATTTGCCTGCATGCATGCATGCATGCATGCATGCATGCATGCATGTATGTATGTATGTATGTATGTATGTATGTATGTGTGCATATAACTATGTATGTATGCATGTATGTATGCATGTCTGTATGTTTGCCTGTTTGCTTGCATGCGTACATGCATGTATGCATGTATGTGTGTGTGTTTGCACAAACATGCACACACGCCTATATGCAGCTTGCCCTAGCCAATTCCTGTGGGTTTCAGTCCGAGAGCCGAGAGCGACCTGGGCTCCGACTGCCCTTGTCGACAGCACGCTCAGGTATAATAGGACCCTCGGTGGCAAGCTGGACAAGATCGCTTCCGCGCGACAACAACGGGGCGCACGGCCGCTGCTGTGCTTCCCCCGGGCCCGTGCGGGCACGCCGCTCCCTCAGCTCCGACAGCAGCCGCCGCTGCGCCCTCGCGCGATCGCCGTACACGACGAAGTCCGCGCCAGCCGCCAGGCACGCCTCCCGGTCGGCCGACATCGACACGACCCCGAGCACCGGCCTCGGCTCGCCGCGCGCCCGGGCGCACTCGGCGCAGGCGGCGACGAGGCCGAGCCCGGTCATCGCTCCCCGAGCCTCGCGGCCGCCGCCGCGCATCATGGAAGTGAGGACGGCCCCCACCGCGCCCGCGGGCGCGCCACGGAAGAACTCGAGGGCGTCCTAGCTCGGCTGCGCGCAGGGGTGGCCCTGGGCAAGAGGCAACCTGGGAGAGGTGCGGCTTTGGGGGCCGCGGGGGAGCCAAGTCCGAGCGTACACGCCGATGCAGGCGGGACCCCTGCGGTCGGGGACGCACCCGCTCGGGTCCACACAAGCCCGGGTCGGCCAGGGCCCTGTCGCGAAGCCCGGCCGGCCGCTCAGCGGCTTCCAAGCCCGGGCTGGCGGAGGGCGGAGAGGGGGAATCGGCGGCCCCACGTGGCCCCCAAACCTGGGGCCAGCCAGAGAGGATCGGCTGACCCGCGCTTGCGCCGACCGCGTCACGTCAGCCCCGTCGTGGGCCCGCACCAAAGGTCACTCCCGCGACAAGTCACCCTTGGAGAAGCCAACAGGTAATTACCGAAACCGCTACTCCACGGACCTCTCCCAGGCTGCCTTCTGACCAGGATCTCGAGGCGAATCCAGCGGTGGCGACGAGGGCCTCCCAGGACGCCCCCGAAACAGGCGAACACGAGGCAGTGGTGGCGGTCTGGGTGCCTTGCCCTCCTTTGAGCTCTTGCGCCCAGCCGAGTCCTCCGGCTCCCGAAAGGTGCGCACCGACATGCCGGCGGCCCGCAGGGGCCCCGCGGACTCGGTCACGGCGGGGTCGGCGTCGCACCACAGCACGGCGAGGCCCTCCAGCGTCGGGGCGCGGCCCCTGCGGGGGAAACTGGCAGCGCAGGGTGTCGCAGCGCACAGTCAAAACCGACAGCAAGGAGGCGCGATAGGGGCGCAGGTGCCCTGGAAACCCCATGCCGAGGCTTCTCGAGCGGGGCTGGCCATCGAGAGTGGTCGAGGATGGGCCGCAGAGGACCGAAGAGGCGAGAACGCAAGGGTGCCCCTGGGACGTCGCTCATCCTGACCATCAGTGTTGGCCGCACGGCTGGCTCGCGTCGCGATGTCGTGGACGTTAGTTTCTTACGCAGGGTGGGTCGTTCAAACAGAGGCCTCCTGGATGGGGTCCGAGTAGACGGGGTCGGAGGATCGCCGCGCATCGCAAATGCATCGGCGACGTCGGGGACGCATCGGCGACGTCGGCACGGAGAGCATCGGGCTCCGCATCGAGCCGCATCGCCGACCTGATGGCGATGCGGCGCGACCCTCCGACCCCATGCAGTGGAGGCCAATCCGCACGAAACCTTCCACAAGAAACCCAACCCTGAGACCCCAGGACGCCCATCGGTTTTTGGTGTGGGAGCGTCACGTTCTCCATGGGGAGACCACCGAGACTCGAGACATCCGGGGCACCCTCTGGAGGCAGGCAGGGTGCTTCTTGGCATGGGCCTCCCCTGTCCGGTCCGACCCCATCTGGGAGGCCCGGCTCCACCGTGAGCGATCGCGGCTCTCCGACAGCGCCACTGGGCCGAGCATCGAGGCGCCGCTCCTCGAGCCTCGAGCCTTGGATCCTCGAGGCCTCGAGGCCCTCGATCCTCCATCCTCGAGGCCTCGATCCTCGGTCCTCCATCCTCGAGGCCTCGAGGCTCGACGTCGGCCGATCCTGGGCCACTGGCCGCGCTCGGCCTGGAACGCCCGCGCTGGGGTTTCTTCGCCGCGTCCGCGCGGCGCAAAAGCCTGCCGTATGCGCGGAGGCGGAGCGTCAACCAGCTGAAGGAGGAGGAGGAGCGGGAGGGGGAGGAGGACAGGCTAGGTGCGCTCGCGTCATATCTGACATCCTACCCCTCCCTCCCATCCCTTACCATGGCGCAGATCCCCTCTCTACTCGCACAGTCGGATGTCGAGCAGGGCAATGATCCCGAAAGGGTACGCGATGCATTGTAGAGCACGGCATGGCATGGCGTAGAAGAGCACCGCAAAGCGTAGTATCAACCTAGCATTGCATTGCATGCCGTGGCATGGCACGGGAAATGACGCCAGCGCTGCAGCGGGAGCACGAGTCGAAACGAGCGGAAGCGCGGAAATGAGGCCAGCGCTGCAGCGGGAGCACGATTCGGAACGAGCAGAAGCACGGAAATGAGGCCAGCGCTGCAGCGGGAGCACGATTCGGAACGAGCGGGGCCTGAAAATGAGGCCGGCGCCTCAGCGAGAGCAGCATTTTGAAAACACATGCAGGCGAAAACCCAACTCCTAGGAAACCTGTGTAAAAAACAATACGCGGGGGGGGGGGTCGGACACTTTCAAACCGTCATCAGGGGAAGAGGGAGAGTAGTATTCATATTGAGTAATTGTAGAGGAGGAGGATGAGGAAGAGGAGGAGGAGGAGGAGGGGGAGGAGGAGGAGGAGGAGGAGGAGGAGGAGGAGGAGGTCAACCAGCTGAAGGAGGTCCGCAAAAGGCGGCACCCGCGAGGCGGCCAGCCGCCAGTGCGGAGCTCCTTCAGCTGGACCCGAATCTGCGGGAGGTCCTCCTCCTCCTCCTTGTCGTTCTCCTCCCCCCTCCTCGTCCTCCTCGTCCTCCTCCTCCTCCCAGTCCTCCTCCTGGTCCTCCTCGTCCTCCTCCTCCTCCTCCTCGCAGTAGAAGCAGATCCGCATTGCTGCCAGCCGCCAATGCGGACCTCCTTCTGAGGTTCTATCCGGCCAAGCAACCGGGGGGAGGGAGGATTGTCCTTGCGATTGCGGCCGGGAGCGCAGGAGCAGCGACGCAAGGAAGCGCTGCAAGACCTTTGGACGTCCAGGCTACTGGAACGATTGCGGCGGCGGCAAGCCCCAAACCAAAGGACAGACACGGATACAAGGGCGGCCTGAATGAAGTACCGCATCCTCACCACTAGGTTGGACTTTGCGCTCCGCGACGTCTGATGTTGTGAAAGAGTGACGGCGACATGGAAAATACCACACGACCAGCCCTATACCCTCGCTTTGGGCGGAAATTTTGAGCCGGATTGATCCGTGAGGGCTTCGGGTCCCAAGACGAGGAAGTCAGTTCGGTCGTGATTCTTTCGTGGCGCTCGGCGGCAATCACCCGCGTGATCTCTTACGAGGCGGGCCTGGGAGCCCTGGACGCCGTCCCCAAGACAGGACCTGCTTTTCGTCGCGGGTCGCTGCTTGTAGGGAGCGGCCACCCAGTCCGCAAGGCCAGCCTCGCGTTACGAACGATCGCAAAACATGTGCTTTCGAAACCAACGTGGACTTCTCTCATTCGACGTTTCGACATTGGGCGGAAGGAGGGTGGGAGGGGGGGTTCTGGCTCCAGACCTCTGCTTAACGCGACTGTTCGCAACACTGCGTCCTGTGGGGGACTCCACCTGCTCGAACCTGGCGCCCCAAACAGCCACTATCTACTCCATTGGGGGGGGAGCAGGGGGAGGGGGTGCGACAAGCTAGGTGCGCTCGCGTCATATCTGATGTCCTTCCCCTCCCTCCCATCCCTTACCATGGCGTAGATCTCATATCAATTCGCACAGTCGGATGTCGTAGCATTGCATAGCATTACATGGCATAGCATGGTGTTGAAGATCAGCGCGTAACATGACGTAGCGTGGAGTGGCGACTCCTCTCTATTCGCGTAGTCGGATGTCGTAGCATGGCATAGCATTACGTGGCATGGCAATGTGTTGAAGTTCAACGCTTAGCATGACATAGCATGGCATGGCGACGTCCCAAAGTGGGGGGGGGGCGTCTGCGGCCTAAAAGATCAACGGATCGACACCGAATGTATGATCACTTCCGATGGTTTTTCGGGGGGGCATTTTCTACATTTTTGGGCCTATTTGGAAGGGCCGAAAACCATGCCGTGGCATGGCACTGGAAATAATGTAGCCAGCGCTGCAGCGGGAGCACGATTCGGAACGAGCGGAAGACCGAAAATGAGACTAGCGCTTAAGCGGGACCAACATTTTGCACAGAAGCCCAAGCGAAAACCCAGTTCTCGGGAATCCTACGAAAGAAAACAGTACGCGGAGGGAGGTCGGATATCTCCCGGACGTCATCAGGGGAGAGAGGAGAGTAGTATTCATAGTGTGTAATTGTGGCCCCGCGCCGATCGGCAAAGCAATGAATAAGAATACGATCACTATGTACGTGCACGCCCGTACGCTCCTGTTTCGCTCCTGAGCTTGAGGCCCCCCAGGGCGAAAACGGCCGCGTGGCTTCCCGGGGGGGGGGGGGGCCGGGCTCGGGAAGCAGTCGGCCGCCCTCGTGTGCCTCCAGGGCGTCCGGAGAGCCGACCAAGGCCCCCTGAGGGCTGGCCCGGCCGCAGCGGCGAGGGCCCTCCAAGACGCCCCCTACGAGCGAAAAACATCGAGATTATTTTTTGTTTCGCCGTCCATCTCTCTCTCTCTCTCTTTTTTGTTTTTTTTTCTCTCTCTCTCTCTCTCTCTTCTCTCTGTCTCTGTCTCTTACATGTGTGAATGTATTTATACACAGATATATGCAGTGCCGAAGGAGGGTTGCCACGTCCTCCTGTGGAAGCGGGGGAGGCGGACCCCCCCCCAGGACTACCCGTGGCCCCAGCTAGAGCCGCGCAACAAAAATCCCCAAACGCTCAGGAGCCTCAAAACGCAAAACAAATCCCCAAAACGAAAAACACATCCAACACATATCAAACACATATCTTACAACGTAAAGGAAACATCAAAATAAATCCCCCAAAACAAAATCATCGATCTTCGGTCCTCCCTCCTCCTCGTCCCTCGATGGTGGCGACTTCCCTGGGAGCGACTCGCCCTGGCGCTGGCCGATGGCCCGTGGGGCCGACCAGGACTTCGAGGCGGATCCATCCATGGTGGCAAGGGCGCTCCAGGACGCCCCAAAGAGGTCGAACGAGATGCCCTGCTGACGTCGTCGCCCTCGTCGTCGCCGGCTTTGTCGCCGATGGGCGGCAGGCCATGGCGGTGGGGCGAGCGGGGCTGCCTTCTACGAGGGCAGGGGCTTCTCAGCATCAGGTCGGGCATGCCCTCCTACAGGCGGATTTCAGAGGGAAAATTAAAAAATAGCCCAAAATAGTCAAGACATCGTGCCCATATCAGTTGTTGTGGACTTTTTTTGAAGATTCCTCCTGTGGAGGGATATGCCCGACGTACTCTTAGTAGACGGGCCCAGGGCCCAAGGGCTTCCGAGAATGTCTCTTAGAAGGCAGGGGTGCCCCTCCGCGAGGACCCCAGCCTTCTCTCGGGAGGCCGCTTCCCTAGCGCCTCGCGCCGGTCCCCTCCTGCCTGCCCGCCGGACGGCCCCAGGCCCCGCCGCGACAGGCAGGGGGAGCTGTGGTCCTCACCGCCCTCCAGGGAACTCCCCATGTCGACGATCTCTCTTAGATGCCTCCTAGGCTTATGATGCTCCCATCGTACTCGAGGACCACACCCCATCAATAATGTCGAGCACCCAGAAACGTATCGAAACAGTGTCGAACGAGTACCGCCTCCTTGGGCCCGACACGTGAAAACCTTCAAGTTTCGGTACTGTCTTGGTGCTCGAACGTCTTTCTGGGGATCAAGGCTAAAGTAGGTTGGAACATCATCATCCACGTCGACGATCTGTCCTAGAGGCCTCCTAGATGGGGTCCGAGCAGATGGGGTCGGAGGATCGCGCCGCATGGCCAGTGCATCGGCGATGCATCGGCGGTGTGTCTCCGATGCATCGCCGACGTCGGTGGTGTATCGGCGACGCTGGCGTGGAGAAAATCGGGCTCCGCAACGGGCCGCGTCGCCGATGCATCGGCGATGCGGCGGGATCCTCTGACCCCATCTACTCCGAGCCCACCTGGGAGGCCTAGAGATCTCTCTCTCTCTCTCTCTCTCGAGGGGTGTCGATGCCGATGGGCCCTCCTCAGCTGAGCGCGGCAGTGGCCTCACGCAAGAGTGGCCTTCGGTGCACGGCTCGCCGATCGCTGCGCACGGTGCGACGGCAGCGGCCCCCGTGCTTTCCGGTGGCCCGCCCCTCCTGCGCCCCCCGAAAGGCGGGCAGGGCCACTCCGGTGAGGGGTCGCTCGCGCGCGCAGGCGCCCTCCCAGGTTCAGGTCGGGCATGTCCCCCTACAGGCAGATCTTGGAGGAAATGTGAAAAATAGTCAAAGCATTTTCAACATTGGTCAAAAATAATCGACAAATCGTCCCCAGACGATTTCCTGACTATTTTTGGACACTCCTCCTGTAGAAGGACATGCCCGACTTCACCCCAGGTGGGGAAGGATCCAGCTGTGGCTTGCCGCCGTCGCCCCCCCTGACTTTGGAGTCCCGAAACGGTGCAGTGACAGACCGTGCGGTGACCTCGAACACCCCCAAGACCTCACCGCAGTCCGTCAACGCACGGTCTTGGGACCTCGGATGCCCCCGTCGCCCGAGACGTCCTCGGAGAACGACACGAGTCCCAAAGCAGTGCGGTGACCCCGAATCACCACCGACTCACCACACGGTGTGGTCGCCACCCCTTTTGGGGGCCCCCGGCTGACCCACAGGGCCGCTGGCCGCGCCGGGACAGGGCCGGCGGGGCGAGGCCCCGCTCGCAGCGGTCCATCAGCGCGGCCGCCCAGCCGGCGCCGAGCTCGCGCGCCACGCGCTCGTTGCGGACGAAGACGGCGTCGGTGAACATGCGGTCGCCGACCTCCGCGAGGGCCCTGTCCGACGGCGAGGAAGGGGAAAGGGAGGAGGAGGAGGAGGAGGAGGAGGAGGAGGAGGAGGAGGAGGAGGAGGAGGAGGAGGAGGAGGAGGAGAGAAGGAGGAGGAGGAGGAGGAGGAGGAGGAGGAGGAGGAGGAGGAGGAGGAGGAGGAGGAGGAGGAGGAGGGAGGAGGAGGAGGAGGAGGAGGAGGAGGAGGAGGAGGAGGAGGAGAGGAGGAGGAGGAGGGAGGAGGAGGAGGAGGGGGGGGAGGAGGAGGAGGAGGAGGAGGAGGAGGGGAGGAGGAGGGAGGGGAGGGGTCAAGTCAGCCAGGTCGAGCGAATCAGAGGGCCCCACCGGTTTTTCCATAGCATGGTGATCGAGTCTGAAATAACCTGGTACTTGGATTGGAGCGCGTTCCTGCCCAACCAACTGAAGGCGCTCGCGCGCGGCCCCGCTTCCGACGACCTGGAGATGGGAAGGCTGCACGGGCCACGCGGGGGCGGGAACGGCACGACTTCCAATGAGCGCAGCGGCGACGAAGCATGCGCCGTGCTGACGTAGCGCTGCCACTTCCACTCGCAACCCGCGCGGCACTCGGGCGAGGTCGGCAGTTCGCCCGCTCTCGCGCGGCCCCGCTGCCGCTGTCGTTTTCGTGCGGCTCGGCGAACGAACCGTGCGCAGCGCCCGCGTGGGAGCGCCGCGTCCGAGCGAAATGCGCACGGAGCTCGGGGCGAGGGCGACAAGGTGGGCCGCTCGCGCGGGCCCCCTCGAACACTGGCCAATGAGAAGAAGGCGCCGCGCCGGGGCGGGCCTCCCCTTCCTGCTCTTCCCTCCTTTCCTCCTCCTCCTCCTTCTCCCTCCTGCTCCTGCTCCTGCTCCTCTTCCTCCTGCTGCTGCTGCTGCTCCTCCTCCTCCTCCACAAACGCACAAATATGAAAACTACTCTTCTCTCTCCCGTCATCCTGTCCATACAATGCCCCGTCCTCTCCGCATATTGCTTTTTACACACAAGATTTCATGACTTGTTTTTTTCTATTTGTTTTCTTTCAATCTGGTCGTTTCCAGTTCTTCCAAAATTGTGCCCCAGCTCAGCGCCGCCCTCATTTCTGCGCTTTCGTCATTCAAAATCGTGCTCCCGCTGCAGCGTTGGCCTCGTTCCCGCGCCTCCGGTTGTTCCAAATCGTGTTCCCGCAGCAATGCTGGCGTGTTCGGTCCTTCCAAATAGCGCTGTCGCTGTAGTGCTGGCCTCGTTCCAATGCTTCGGTCCTTCTGAATCGTGCTCCCGCTGCAACGGTGGCCTCATTCCCGTTTTCGGTCCTGGCCTCGTTCCGGCGCTCCAGGCATTTTGAATCTTGCTCTCGATGCAGCGCCGGTCTCATTTCCGTCGGTCCTGGCCTGATCCCCCGAATCGTGTTGCAACACTGGCCTTTTCTTCCTGTTTTCGGTCCTTGCTCGGCCATGCTTTTCCACCCATGCTTTTCATCCATCGCGTTCCCTCTTGGGATCACTGCCCTGCTCGACATCCGACTGTGCGAACAGATAGGAGATCTACGCCGTGGTAAAGGATGGGAAGGAGGGGTAGGACGTCAGATGTGACGCTAGCGCGCCTAGCTTGTCCTCCTCCCCCTCCTCCTCCTTCCTTCCCTCCTTCCTTCCTTCCTTCCTTCCTTCCTTCCTTCCCTCCTTCCTTCCACTCCGCTCGGCGCCGCCCCCGGGTTGGGGCGCGCGCCCGGCCGGGCCGCGCGGCACGGGCCCTCATAGGCCGGCGAGCTGTGCCCGCATGCTGCTCTTCCCCGCGGCCGAGGGCAGTTCGGCTGGAGCCCGCGGCGCCGAAGCGGGGGGCTCCGCACTTAGCCCCGGGGAAGGGGTCGCCCGGCGGCCCCCCCAGGAGGTCGCTGGTGGAGCGCCGCGCGGGCATGACCCCCCGGCAGCCCCGCTTTGGGCTGGGTCGCTGCCGGTGGGTACTCGGCCCGGAGAGGGAAGGGCACGGCCCGGCGGGGACCCGGGGCCAGGGCCAGGGGCCGAGGGCCGGACCGGGGCCCAGGTGGGCCCGCCCGAGAGGCGAACGCCGGCCAGGCCACGGGACCAGGGGCCAGGGGGGGTGGCGGGGGACGGGGCCCAGGCCCCGGGGCGGAAGCAGAGGAGGACGGAGGACAGGAAAGCCGAGCCAAGCTTTCAGGGGGGCCCAGGCCCAGAGGTCGGTGTCCATACCCATCCTCTCCTGCATGGTGCCTAGGGTGCTGCCTGCAGCGCAGCCTCCAAGCGGCGCGCCTGCTGCGGCGACAGGCCCGCGGCCGCGCCCGCCCCGGGCCGCGGCCGGAGCACCGCGGCGGCGCCGCCGCAGTTCCCGAGGGGGTGGACTGCGGTCTCCTGGGACTGGCGCGGATCCTGCCACGATCTCGCGCAGCCAACTCGTGGTTGTGGACGCTCATCAGGGCAAGGGTGCTGCGGGAGGCGGCGTTCGTGATGGCGAGCAGCTGGGTGCGCCCAGGGGCGAGGACGCTGTGCGAGATGATCGAGAGCTGGTCCTGCTGGAGCTGCTCGAGCTGCACTGGCGCGAACCGCGGAACGAGGATGGCGGCGCGGCCGATGGTCGCGGACGAGGTGCCTTCGTCGGGTGTGCACTCGGAGAAGAAGAGCTTCTACGGGCACGGCTGCGTGGCCACCCATGTGCGGAGCAGCGCTTCGGAGCCATGAACTTCCTGAGGAAGGATGACGCACTGGCGCCGAAGAAACGTGGCGAGGGCGGCCTGCTTGCGTCGGCGGCGGGAGCGCTTGTGGCACATCAGCCCGCGGGCGTTCCAGCTGACGAAGGTGGCAAGCGGCGAGCATTCGGGCGCGAGTCATGGCGCACACGGGTGGTTAGGAACGCCACGTAGCGGACTCGTTGTCCGAGAGAGAGAGAGAGAGCTTGGAAGCAGGAGAGGGCGGCCGCGCTGTCGATGTTGTGGAACTGCTGGAGCTCGAAGGCCTTTTCGTTCCACTCGAGGCCAGCGGGGTCAGCCTGGCCGCGGGTGCCGAGGCGGATGACGGGCAAGGCCTTGCTGTGGATCTCGCCTTTGTTGCGAATGGTCCGCCATTGCAAGCTGTGATGCTGGTGTTGGAGCAGCGATTGGAGCTTCTTGCGCTGGGTCTCGGTTCGGATTTGCTTCGTCGGCTTGTCGCCGTGAAGGTAGATGCCGACGCGCTGCCCGGCGGTGTCGCTGGTGGCGAAGCGCTTGAATTTCCCTGCGGCATTTCGCAGGGCACGCTGTATAGCAATTGCACGGGGTACGGCGACTTCGCGAAGTGGAAGGCAGGCTCGTGGCCGCGTAGTTCAATGTGGTCGGACTGAAGGTCAGCGCCACCGGTCCACTCCTGCAAGTCATTGAGGAGGACGTCGGGCGAGACGAGGCGCTGGCAGCCAACGGTGAAGACCGTGGGCTCAAGGACACGGCCCCTTTCAGCGAGGAGCGCGAGGTCCGTGATCGGGATCTGGGTGGGCCTCGGCGAGGGCGAGGGGTGTCGCGCATCTGGTCGATTTGCTGCCACCTGCGCTTCTGATCGGCGGCCTGGCGGTCCTGCTCGCGGCAGGTGTGGGCGACGGCATCGTAGAGGTTGTCCACGCGGCGCTCGATGTGGAGGACTTACTGCTGCAGACGGGAGCGGAAGCTTTCGCGGGACTGCTCGAGGAGGCGGTCGGCCTGGGCGCGGAAGGCGTCGGCGGCGATGGCGATCTGCTGCTGCATGGGGCTCCGGAGGGCGGTATCCAGAGAGAGAGAGAGAGAAAGAGAGAGAGAGAGAGAAAGAG